TACAAACTCCTGGGGCTACACAAAGAAAAACATACAAAAATTAAGTAATTTTACGCCTTCACCAAAAACAATAGTTTTGTATTCTACATGCAAAATAATAAATTTTTTTGGACAGACGGACGGACACACATGTCTAGATCGATTCTGCTTGAGATTTTTTAAAGAATATTTTCTGCACAAAGGACAACATAGTTTTGTAGGGTATAATAACAAATTTTTTTCGAGGACTACAAGAAGGCTTGGATTTTTTAAAGAATATTTTCCAAGGACCAAAAATGACGTGGATTTTTTAAAGAACATTTTCCAAGGACCAAAAAAATATTGTTTAACAAATCAACGCCTCTTGTAGGCCTTGAAAAAATATTGTTTAACAAATCCACGCCTCTTGTAGGCCTTAAAAAAATATTCTTTAACAAATCCACGCCTCTTGTAGGCCTTGAAAAAATATTCTTTAACAAATCCACGCCTCTTGTAGGCCTTGAAAAAATATTCTTTAACAAATCCACGCCTCTTGTAGGCCTTAAAAAAATATTCTTTAACAAATCCACGCCTCTTGTAGGCCTTAAAAAAATATTCTTTAATAAATCCACGCCTTTTGTAGGCCTTGAAAAAATATTCTTTAACAAATCCACGCCTCTTGTAGGCCTTGAAAAAATATTCTTTAACAAATCCACGCCTCTTGTAGGCCTTAAAAAAATATTCTTTAACAAATCCACGCCTCTTGTAGGCCTTGAAAAAATATTCTTTAACAAATCCACGCCTCTTGTAGGCCTTGAAAAAATATTCTTTAACAAATCCACGCCTCTTGTAGGCCTTGAAAAAATATTCTTTAACAAATCCACGCCTCTTGTAGGCCTTGAAAAAATATTCTTTAACAAATCCACGCCTCTTGTAGGCCTTGAAAAAATATTCTTTAACAAATCCACGCCTCTTGTAGGCCTTGAAAAAATATTCTTTAACAAATCCACGCCTCTTGTAGGCCTTGAAAAAATCCATGCCTATTCTAGTTCTTGAAAAAATATTCTTTAAAAAATCCACGCCTCTTGTAGGCCTTGAAAAAATATTCTTTAAAAAATCCACGCCTCTTGTAGGCCTTGAAAAAATATTCTTTAAAAAATCCACGCCTCTTGTAGCCTTGTCTTGTAGGCCTTGAAAAAATATTCTTTAACAAATCCACGCCTCTTGTAGGCCTTGAAAAAATATTCTTTAACAAATCCACGCCTCTTGTAGGCCTTGAAAAAATATTCTTTAACAAATCCACGCCTCTTGTAGGCCTTGAAAAATATTCTTTAACAAATCCACGCCTCTTGTAGGCCTTGAAAAATATTCTTTAACAAATCCACGCCTCCTGTAGGCCTTGAAAAAATATTCTTTAACAAATCCACGCCTCCTGTAGGCCTTGAAAAAATATTCTTTAATAAATCCACGCCTCCTGTAGGCCTTGAAAAAATATTCTTTAACAAATCCACGCCTCTTGTAGGCCTTGAAAATATATTCTTTGGAAAAGCCAATCCGCTTTTAGGCATTGAAAAAATATTTTTCCAAAAATGCCCGGTTTTTTTGGCCCTGAAAAAATCTTCTTTAAAAAATTCACGCCTCTGGGAGGCTTTGAAAAATATTCTTGGGAAAATCCCCGCCTCTTATAGGCCTTGAAAAATATTATTAAAAAAAACCATGCCTATGTTAGGCCTTGAAGGATTTTTCACCGTTAATTTGTGTTTAAATTAAATCTTCCACCTTTTTTGCCATATTCCATTTGAATTTTGCTGCAAAATTTTTAAAAATTGGCTTCGAAGCATACATTTTTAGTATTGAACTCTACTACAGCTTGACGTATCACTTCGCCTACATTGAGTTGCATTTGCTTTTGATCCTTATTGTGTTAGAGCTGCCATTGACGAGTAGCTGCACCGAGTAGCGGTTTTAGTATTGTCTTTAGGAGCATGCCATTAAATTGAAAGTTACTTCTCTAAAAATCATCATCTTCTACGACATGAATGCAGAGCGAGCGTTGGAGAAAAAAAAAACTAATCAACCATCTGAGAGTGGCTGGAAAGAATGGACGGATGGATGTATAGTTGAATAGATTGATGGCTGGCTAGGAAAGTTCCATGAATAGTGTGATGAACGTGCAAAGGCATTGATAAGTGTATACAAACAAACAACCATATACAGTGTGTGTGTGGATGTTTCTGGCGAAACAAAACACTCACATCGAAGTACTCACCAACACATCTTCACATTGCTAATATAACAAGAGAATAAACTGGAAAATGTTAGAGTGCGTGTTGGAGGAGGCACGTATGAGATAACAGGGATGGGAGTATCAAACTATACGCCCGCTACAAATAGGATATCATCTTCAGACTATCTATATTAGCAGAACGTCCTTGGACATCCTATATATAGTTGGTTTTGAAATGATGTCACATAGAAGATAATTTAAAGGTCCCATCCCTGGCAAAATCTTTTGTATTCCTACCTTATTGAGTTGGCTAAAAGTATAGGATTTTTACTGCCAACATTGACTAGCTCAACTGCTGTTAATAACCACAAAAAAGTAACAACAACTAAACAGCAACTAGTCCAATGGTCCAATAATGCGGGTGGTTACAGTGTATACCATGACTACCATAACTTTCTGAGTCGTTTTATAAGGATCATCCAAAGGCGTGGATTTTTTAAAGAATAATATTTCAAGGCTCTCACAAAGGCCGAATATTTTTAGTCTGATTTTTATACCCTTCACCACACCATGTTAAATTGTAAACAAACTACAGGTCGCATTTATGATCCGAATTGGATGAAATTTGACATAGGTCACTTATTTGGCCCAAGGACGAACCCTATTAAAATTGAGAAAAATCGGTTCAGATTTAGATATAGCTCCCATATATATTTTCGTCCGATTTAATGTAAATGGTGTACCAAAGTCCCTATATATCTTTGGATTTGCACGAAATTTGACATAGTGTAATGAATTAGGTCTAGAATGATGTGTGTTAAGTTTTGTGAAAATCGGTCCAGATTTAGATATAGCTCCCATATATATTTTCGTCCGATTTTAAGTAAATGGTGTACCAAAGTCCCTATATATCTTTCGATTTGCACGAAATTTGGCATAGCGTAATGAATTAGGTGTAGAATGATGTGTGCTAAGTTTCGGGAAAATCGGTTTAGATTTAGATATCGCTGCTATATATCTTTTCTTCCGATTTTATGTAAATGGTGTACCAAAGACCCTATATATCTTTCCTACCCTATATATTAGATATAGCTCCTATATATATTTTCGTCCGATTTAATGGAAATGGTGCACCAAAGTCCCTATATATCTTTTGATTTGCACGAAATTTGGTATAGTGTACTAAATAAGGTCTAGAATGATGTGTGTTAAGTTTTGTGAAAATCGGTCCAGATTTAGATATAGCGCCCATATATATTTTCGTCCGATTTAATGTAAATGGTGTACCAAAGTCCCTATATATCTTTCGATTTGCACGAAATTTGGCATAGCGTAATGAATTAGGTGTAGAATGATGTGTGCTAAGTTTCGGGAAAATCGGTTTAGATTTAGATATCGCTGCTATATATCTTTTCTTCCGATTTTATGTAAATGGTGTACCAAAGACCCTATATATCTTTCCTACCCTATATATTAGATATAGCTCCTATATATATTTTCGTCCGATTTAATGGAAATGGTGCACCAAAGTCCCTATATATCTTTTGATTTGCACGAAATTTGGTATAGTGTACTAAATAAGGTCTAGAATGATGTGTGCTAAGTTTCGTGAAAATCGGTTCAGATTTCGATATAGCTGCTATATATCTTTTCTTCCGATATTATGTAAATGGTGTACCAAAGTCCCTATATATCTTTCGATTTGCACGAAGTTTGGCATAGCGTAATGAATTAGGTCTATAATGGTGTGTGTTGAGTTTCCTGAATATCGGTCCAGATTTAGATATAGCTCCTATATATATTTTCGTCCGATTTAATGGAAATGGTGCACCAAAGTCCCTATATATCTTTTGATTTGCACGAAATTTGGTATAGTGTACTAAATAAGGTCTAGAATGATGTGTGCTACGTTTCGTGAAAATTAGTTCAGATTTAGATATAGCTGCTATATATCTTTACTTCCGATTTTATGTAAATGGTGTACCAAAGTCCCTATATATCGTTCGATTTACACGAAATTTAGTACAGCGTACTGAATTTGTTCTAGCATGATGTGTGTTAAGTTTCCTAAATATCGGTTCAGATTTAGATATAGCTGCTATATATCTTTTCTTCCGATTTTATGTAAATTTTACACTAAAGACCCACAGTTTGTGCGATTGCCACACAATTTGTTACAATGAAGTGTAGCTAAGTAGTGTAGCAAGTATCATTGAAATCGGCTCAGATTTTGATATAGCTTATATATAAGCAACCCTATATCTGACCAAATGAAAAATTTAGTATAGGTTGCAGAATGACATGTTTATTGATCCATTTTCGTGTTAATGGTCGTTCAACGTTTGGTAGGATTCATCTGTTGAATATACGCAAAGTGGTGAAGGGTCCGACTTTACTACTTTCCTCACTGGTTTCAGAATATTTTTTTGTGAATATTTTTTCTAGGCTTCGTATAGGCGTGGATTTTTTAAGAATATTTTTTGTGGACATTTTTTCAAGGCTTCCCATAGGTGTTATTTTTTTTGTGATTTTTTTATCAAGTAGAGGATTTTTAAACAAGATTTTCTTGGCAACCCTATCTCCCGAACTTCTACTTTTCACCACCATGGCCCTGAGTGTTTTAGTGAAACTACTAAAACTTTTACTATCTATACTTACCACTAACTAGTACCTACTCCTAGTTGCAAGTTCTTGCATAATGCTTTTTGTTGTTGTTGTTGTTTTGTGTTTTTACCCCCAGAATGTTGTTTTAACCAGTTTTTTTTCAAAATTGTATTTTTTCGTCTTTTTTCTATCTTTCCCGTTTTCCAAATAGCTCTTCAGTCAAATGGTGATGGGTTTTAATGGCAAAAACAATTTAGACATCGATAGACTGACAACCATGCTGGAGGAGAATCGCACATTGCTAAATGACATGGCAACTAAGGAGTGTACGGATGGTGCCACATTGCCAAAATTATTATTCGAATTAGTTGAGCAAGCCAGCGTTAAAGATACGACAGGCATGAATGAGGATGAACGGGCCAACGCATTATGCCGCCAAGTTAGCAAAGAAATGACCCATAAGGAAAACGCGACTGCCAATGAGGAGACAAAAATTGTCTCTGAAGATAATAGTAGCTGTAGTTCGCAGGACGAGGAAGATGGCGAAGAAAACGACGAAGTTGATAATGAAAATATGATATTAGCAAGCAACTCCGAGCAAACTGTAACCAGTGCATCCGAACAGCAACAACAACCAGAAAATATTGATAATACCGATGCTGCTGTAGTTGCAGGTTCAGCAGCTTCTGCCACGGCTAGCTCAGATGTTGCATTTGCCACTAATGAAAAAGTTAGTGGCATTACTTTACAACAAACTAAGAGCAAAAAGCAACATCACTCACATCATCGTAAAAGTTCGAATAACATTAAAAAATCCACGAACACCACCACCGCCGCCGGTGGCAGTGGCAGTGCTACTCTGAAATTCAATGATCCCAGTGTCATGGCAAAAGTTGCCTCAACCCAAGAAATTATTGGCAATCTACCAAAAGTTTGGCGCGTTTTAGTTGAGCTACTTAATCATCATCACATCGATCCGGTGAAATTCGAGGAGAACGGTAAAGGCGAAGATTGCTATAAATCGGTACAGACACCGTACGGACCCAAGGCGGAGCTAAGCGTCAGCAAGACATATTTGAAATTGAAGGTAAGTAGGGGGTGGGGTAAAATTTTTTTTAAGTTAAGAAAGAATGTCGTTGAAGAAATATTCTTTAAAAAATCCACGCCTGTGGAAGGCCACTGGAAAAATATTCCTTAAAATAAAAATTCACGCCTGTGGAAGGTCACTGGAAAAATATTCCTTAAAATAAAAATTCACGCCTGTGGAAGGCCACTGGAAAAATATTCCTTAAAATAAAAATTCACGCCTGTGGAAGGCCACTAGAAAAATATTCCTTAAAATAAAAATTCACGCCTGTGGAAGGCCATTGAAAAAATATTCTTTAAAAAATCCACGCCTATGGATGACCCTTGAAGAAATATTCTTTGAAAAATCCACGCCTCTTATAGGCCTTCAGAAAATATTCTTAAAAAAACCCATGCCTTTTAAAGACCACGGAATGCTTTTCTTCAAAAATATATTTTTCTTTTATTTCCCTAAATAAAATACCTCTTCCCCCTCTCTTTGCTACACCATAGACAAATGGCATTAGCGCGTGTTGAAAAACTAAAAATATCTTAAATACTTTCTGTCTGAAAACACATATTTATTACAGTCAGACATTATTTATCAAGAAATCTATACCGAACTATTACTTGTTCGCAATTAACTAAACACATGAGGCGAATGGAAAACTGAAACTACCAACCACCCCTCTCCCTCTGAGCTCATAAAATATTCCGTTTACAAATCGATACACTTGACCACCAGATATCCAGATGCAGGCCGAAGATGAACAGGGAAAAACCAATAAACATAGACAGCTATAACAACTTGTCGAATAACCATAAATCCTAACACATATTTACACACAGGCACACACACACACTCGTGGGCACATAAATTTGCTTTTTGCAAAAAAATGACCCAGTGAACAATTTTAGTTATATTTAAAAGAGGGGAATATTTATTTCATTTGAGGGGTTGTTTCGGAGCTGGAAGCCGGTCTACTACTTTGTAATATTGGAGAATGGCGGAATATGGCTTAAAAACAAACCTCAATTTCGACCCTTTGAAATTACTGCCCAAATATAAGCTTTGTAAATTGAATAAAGAGGAAAATTTTTTGGTAGGCCGTCAGGAAAATTTTCTTTACTTTCCGATCTCCCAGAATTAAAAAACATATTTTCCATTGCATTTTTCTAACTCACTTGAAAATGTTTGCAGGGCTATTCTCAAAACCATTGCTCTTAATATTTATTTCAAACAAAGTCAAGAATAGGTGGTTATTGGGGAAAATAGCATCAATATTTGTTTTCATCTCCTTCGTATCGTCGTATCCCATAAAACCTACAATATGAAAACATTAATACTAATATAATCCACCCGTTCGATGTTTTTGTTATCCTTTTCGGTTCCGAAGGTATTCCTTCTTTAGCATCAGAAAAAATCATTTTATTTTAGCTAAAGTTATTTATGTCTAGTGGTGTATGCTCTTCGAAGTTTTCGAAGCAAGGATGAGCATTCCTTTCCCTCTCCCTCCCTCCTATCATCGGCTATAAGGAAACACCTAAACTTATAACTTACCACACACAATATTTCGACATTATTTTACCATTTACTTCCTCAATATTATGGCTTTCCGTTTACGGTAAATTTTGGTGGTTGGTTTGATTCGAACTCGGCTCCATCATCGCCATCATCCTGCCAAGGAACATAATCTGCCATTGAAGAAACCCCAAAGGAGTTAGACAATAAATTCAATTACTACTTTAGCTTCAGGAGCATTTGGAAATGTTTGCCTTATGTGTGGTAGTGGTTGTGTGTGTGCGCCTGGCAATGATAGCTAAACCTTAACTTGCCCTCTTACAGCCTCTTTTGAAAAAAAAAATTCCAAAAAGTTCGTTCATGGAGAATTTTTAGTAATCGTGTCAAGTTACTTATAATTATGAGCAACAAAGGCCATACAAGGACAGTGGAATATATTTCCAAGACCTACAAGAGGCGTGGATTTTTCAAAGAATTGTCTGAGGGTGTATCAAGAGGCGTGGATTTTTTAAATAATATTTTTTCAAGGCCTGTAAGAGGCGTGGATTTTTTAAAGAATATTTTTTCAAGGCCTATAAGAGGCGTGGATTTTTTAAAGAATATTTTTTCAAGGCCTATAAGAGGCGTGGATTTTTTAAAGAATATTTTTTCAAGGCCTATAAGAGGCGTGGATTTTTTAAAGAAAATTTTTTCAAGGCCTATAAGAGGCGTGGATTTTTTTAAATAATATTTATTCAAGGCGTGGATGGCCTATAAGACGCGTGGATCTTTTAAAGAAAATTTTTTTCAAGGCGTGGATGGCCTATATGAGGCGTGGATCTTTTAAAGAATATTTTTTCAAAGCGTGGATGGCCTATAAGAGGCCTGGATCTTTTAAAGAATATTTTTTCAAGGCGTGGATTTTTTAAAGAATATTTTTTCAAGGCGTCGATTTTTTAAAGAATATTTTTTCAAGTCGTCGATTTTTTAAAGAATATTTTTGCAAGCCTCGATTTTTTAAAGAATATTTTTTAAGGTGTCGATTTTGTAAAGAATATTTTTTCAAGGCGTGGATTTAAAAAAAAATGTCAAGGCGTGGATTCTAAAAAAAAATTGTCAAGCGTGGATGTAAAAAAAAAATCAAGGCGTGGATTTAAAAAAAAAAAAAAAAAAAAAAATTTTCAAGGGATTAAAAAACAATCAAGGCGTGGATTTAAATAAAAATTTTTTCAAGGCGTGGATTTAAAAAAACAAATTTCAAGGCTTTGATTTTTCAATGAATACTTTTTCAACGCTTGCCAAAGGCGTCGATTTTTAAAAAATATTTTTTCAACGCTTACCAAAATCGCCTGTAGAGATGAAGAAGGAAACCTGGTGACAGATACAGACAGCTTCTGGTATCAAATTGTAGCGGTATAGAGTGTATACCACCTAGCCAAGATTAAGTCAGAATAGCAATCAATCGCCTGAAGTATAATAAAGCAGCGGGTGCTGATGGGTTACATGCCGAACTATTCAAGACTCGTGGTCAGATGCTGGTAAGGAGCATGCACCAGCTGATTAGTACAATAAGTCTCCTTCCCATCGCATATAAAGTGCTATCCAGCGTGTGAACGACTGAAGCCAATGGTCAATGACATCATTGGACCATACCAATGTGGCTTCAGACCTGGCAAGTCCACCATTGACCAGATTTTCACTCTGCGCCACATCCTTGAAAAAACCCCACGAAAAAACACATCGATACATTCCACCAATTCGCCGCATTCGACAGCCATATCCCTTCAGAGGTGTATAAAGCCATGTCTGCGTTTGGCATTCCTGTAAAATTAATACGGCTATGCAGGATAATTTTAACTGGCACAAGATCAGCAGTTAAAGTCGGAAAGGATCTCTCGGAGCCCTTTAATACCGAACGAGGATTCAGACAAGGGGTCAGTTTGTCGTGTGACCTTTTTTACATCCTGCTGGAAAAGGTCATACGAGAGGCAAAAGTGAACAGAAATGGCACTCTGTACACCAAACAACACATGTTACTAGAATATGCCGATGACATCAACGTAATGGGTCTAACACTGAGAGCGGTAACAGCCACCTTTGAACAAATTGAGAAGGAGTCTGCCAAAGTGGCAGACTGGCAGTAAATGGCGGGAAGACCAAGCTGATGGTATCAACGCGCAAGACGTCTAGTAGACTCGGGCCAACTGTGGAACTTGGGAACTACAGCTTCGAGGTAGTCAAGGATTTTATATACCTTGGTACCGCCATAAACAAAACGAATGACATCAGTTTTGAAATTCGGAGAAGGATAGTGTTGGCCAACAGATGCTACTATGGTCTTAGCAAACAACTCAAATGCAAGGGCACCTCCCGTCAGACCAAACTCACACTCTACAAGACGCTGATACTACCCTTGCTTTTATATGGATATGAAGCATGGGTACTTGCGCAAGCAGATGAGGCAGCTCTTGAAGTGTTTGAGAGAAAAATTCTCCGAAAGATCTATGGGCCGATCTGCGAATGAAGAATGAGCTGTATCAGTTATTCTCGGACATCGACATTGTTAGACGTATTGAGCTGCAGCGACTACGTTGGCTAGATCATGTTGTGAGAATGGATGAAGATGCCTCAGCCCAGAAGGCATATGAAAGCGAATCAGCTGATGGCTCACGCAGAAGGAGAAGGCCACGAATAAGATGGAAAGATCAAGTGGAAGATTAAATTGCTGAATATGGTCTTTCAAACTGGAAAAACTGCCCAAAAGACCGACGTGCCTGGAAATTTTTTAAGCTCGGCTTATGGAACGAAAGTTCTGTCACAAGCCAGTTAAACGTAAAAACCAAAGGTGTGGATTTTTAAAAGAATATTTTAAGGCCCTATTTATAGGCGTGGATTTTTGTAAGGGATATTTTATAGGCGTATTTTTTAGAGAATTTTAAGTGGTTTGGATTTTTAACGAATACTTTTTACAGGCTTATAAGAGACGTGGTGTTTAAAGAATATTTCTTATGGTCCATGTTTTGTTTTTAATGTTATTCCCTATATCCCACTGTCTCTTGCACCAAATGCCACAATGATCCGTATGCCCAGTTAGTGTGTTATAGTGCTGCTGTTCAAGTCTCAAGTTTACATTTAAAGTACTTAGGAATATTTACAATAACAAGAAATGGCAACTTATTTTCAAGTACTTCCCAAAAATCATCTACAAAACCGAAAACTAAGAACAAGGGAATTTTGTGTGTTTGGTGTTGCTGTTCTTGTTGTTATGGTTACGAAAAGTATTCTCCCGTCCTCTTCTCCTCTTGACATTCCAGCAATGATCCAAGGAGCAAAATAACAACATCTGTGAAAGCACTACAAGGAGAACTTCAGTCAAAATAGATGAGACATAATAATAATATAGTTAATATGAGAACAAGGCGACGAAGACGAACTGATGATGAAGAGGATAGCTTCTTCAACTAGTGGTGATGGCGTTTGGTACTTAAACAAGTTTCATATTTTATGATACGGTACTCGGATTGCCGTCGTAGTTTTTTTCAATTTTTTTCGTTTTTTTCAAAAATGATGAGTTAATATGTGAAGAAATTCGCAAAAGAAACTCCTTGCCCTTTTTTTGTTGGTGGCTGGCAACAAGGATAACTAGCAAAAATTATGCCACATACAAACATGTGTATGTTTACATGGGCATGTATGTGTGCTAGTGTCATACAAAAAATCAGCAAACGGAAGGAAGTATTTTGATTGACAGTGTTTTTGTTGTTGTGTGTTTGTTGGGAGTTTTTTTTTTTGGCGTTAAACATCAAGGAAGACACAATTTTGTTGTGTGGATGAAAGTGTTCTATATGACTGATTAGGGTTTTCCGGAGGGATTCACATAATTGAGTGGCAAATGGGCAAAGAGGTCAAGATTTTCGTTTTTTTTTAGGAAGACATGACCAGAATTCTGGCACTTAAGCAGGGATACTCATATTTTATCTGCCCTCATATAGCATTAGATATTTATTAATATTAGGAATGTGACGAATTGACACATGTGTCCTTGGATTAAATTGCGAAATGAAGTCAATTTTAAAATTGTAGTTTTTGAAAATGAAAAATAACTCAATTTACAGAAAAAAAGAGGAAAATGTTTTCATTATTGAAACCCTTCAGTGGCCTTGAAAGTCAGATTACAATGGTGACATAGAAAATAGTAAACCAAGTAATGGAGAAAAGCCATAAAATTAGATGGTTATTCGATTAGCCTCAAGGCTAATGATTGTAGAATGGTAGTTTTTGATAGATTAAAAATATACACTATCAAAGTATCGATTCCAGACCTCTCTGGGGTTTGGATTAAAATGTGTCTGAGGTAATAATTTTCAATCATCTGCAGTGGATATTGTATGATACTTTGAGACACTTGGACACTGGCTTAGTAAAAAAAAATCAGTTTGCCAATCATATTTTATGGCCATAAAGACTTCCAACCAGGGTCCTATGAATCTAATTGGGACCAAATTTCCTTTTAAGTTTTTATCTCTCCGAATGATATCCATAAGAAAAACATTAAACTAAATTTTCATTTTCATAATAACCTAATTTCAAAGGATTTTTTAGGGAATATTAGCGACTTACCTTCTGTTCTGGACAATGTCACGATCTGAAAGTAAACTGTAAAAAACTGGTTAGTTATATGCGCCATAAAAGTTATTTTTAATTTTTTTTTTTCAATATAAAATTAAAAAAAAATAAATTAAATTAATTAAAATAAAATTAAAAATCTACGCCTATATAGTGCCCCAAAAAAAATATTTAAAAATCCCTAAAAAATATTCTTAAAAAAATATTCTTTAAAAAAACCACGCCTCTATTGGAGCTTAGAAAAATATTCTTTAAAAAAACGTCGCCTCTGTTAGACCTTGGAAAACTATTCTTTAAAAAATCGCTGCCTCTATTAGACCTTGGAAAAATATTCTTTAAAAAATCGCCGTCCCTATTGGAGCTTGGAAAACTATTCTTTGAAAAATCCACTGTTGGAGCTTGTTACAGAACGGTTGTTCCATAAGCCGAGCTTAAAAAAGATTTCCAAGCGCGTCGGTCTTGTGCGCATATCCTCCAATTTGAAAGTCGCTGCAGCTCACTACGACTGACTATGTGGATGTACGCGTATAAATTGTAAAGCTCGTGGTTCATTCAACGCCGATATTCACCGTCGATGCAGATCTGTCGGAGAATTTTTCTTTCAAACACCCCAAGAGCTGCCTCAGCTGCTTGCGCAAGTACCCATACTTCAGATCCATATAACATCACGGGTAGTATCAGCGTCTTGTGGCCTTGTTTCTGATTACTTAGATCTTAGTAGCATTTGTTGGTCATAACAAGTTGGCCCGTGTGCGTTGCGCGTTGATACCAGAATACCAAGCTGATTCTTGCCGTTTACTGACAGACACACTTTGGCAGACTATTTCTCAATTTGTTCAAAGGTGGCTGTAACCGCTCGCAAGGTTTGACCCATTACATCATCGGCGTAGGCGAATCACATGTGTTGTTTGGTGTACAGAGTGTCATTTCTGTTCATCTTTGCGTCTGAATCCTCGTTCGGTATTGAAGGGCTTCGATAGGTCTTTTCCGACTTTAACTGCAGACCTTGTGCCACTTAAAGTTATCCTGCATAGCCGTATTCATTTTGCAGGAATGCCAAACATAGACATGGCTTTAAACACCTCTGAAGGGATAGAGCAGTCGAATGCGACTTTATAGGCAATTAATATGTGATATGTGTCGATGTGTTTTTCGTGGGTCTTATCCAAGATTTGGGGCCGAGTGAATATCTGGTCAATGGTGGACTTGTCAGGTCTGAAGCCGCATTGGTATGGTCCAATGATGTCGTTGACCATTGGCTTCAGTCGTTCACACATCACGCTGGATAGCACTTTATATTCGATGGGACGGAGACTTATTCCTCTATAGTCCTCTATAGGGACAGAAGGAGTTACAATCGGGTTAGTTGAACAGCATCTGACCAACAGAATAGCTCGGCTGGCCCTTTGTGTTTGCGATTAAGTGCTTCTTTGATCTCATCTTGGCTATGTGGCATACACTCTATACCATCATCTATTATTGGTTCTGGGGTATCTTCTTCACGGCCACTATTTGATACCAGACGATTTTTAAAATGGTCCTCAACACGCTGTCTGTATCTGTCACCAGGTTTCCTTCTTCATCTCTACAGGAGGATGTGCCTGCACCAAAACCTTCGGTTTGGTGTTTTGTTCTTTGGTAAAATTTTCGGACCTCATTTTTTTTTGGTTTTTGCTTTTGCTGCAGATTGTAGGAAGTGGTCAATTCTCTGCCATTGTGATTCTGTACTATTATCGGGACAAGAAGTGCTTTCGTCAGGCAGGTGGGTAAGTTGAGCGGATTAGGCCTCGGCTACCTTATGAGTTTGCAGCTTTTCGACGTCGAATTCCCGTGTTACATTATATTTCATCTTTGCTGCTACATTAAGACGGGTGCGAACCTTGGCTGCTACAAGGTATTGATCCGAATCTATATTTGCTCCTCGTATCGATCGAACGTCTAAAACACTGGACGAATGCCTTCCGTCTATCACAACATTAACGATTTTATTTCTCCTTGCTTGATCAGGAGAAATCCAGTTGGCCTTGTGTATATAGAGATGCTTGAATCTGGTGCTGCTAACTACCGAGTTTTTTGCTGCCGCGAAGTCAATCAACCTCATTCCGTTGTCGAATGTTTCTTCATGAAGGCTGAATTTTCCGACCGTGACATTAAAATCTCCTAGCTGAATTTTAATGCCATGGCCAGGGCAGCGATCATATGCTGTTTCTAATCGCTCGTAAAAATTGTCTTTGGTCTGCTCATCTTTGTCTTCGGTCGGAGCATGGGCGCAAATAAGACTGATGTAGAAGAGCTTTGCTTTTATGTGGATTATGGCAATTCGCTTATCTACTGGAGTGAATCTGGAGACGAGGTCCAAGTGCAGATTGTGGTCCTTTATACGTTTGCGGGGGTCGTCAGCATTAGGGGGGTATGGTTTTCTTTTTCTTTGTTTTTTCGTAGTAGGTTGGGTTTTCTGAGGTGTGGGCAACTAACCTGACGCCTCAACCCATTTGTTTATAGTTCTTATGGGTGAACCCCAGGTGACACCGCGGGAGGTCAATGTCCACAATTGAGATGAACCAAGATAGGCCTGGACTTTGCCATGTTAAAGGCAATCGGAGCCGCTGCTTGGTGTCTATCATCCTCACGCCTATAGATTGACCGTGAAAAAATATTTGTATAAAAAATCCAAGCCTTGAATCGATCCGTGAAAAAATATTTTTTTTTAAATCCATCCCTATGGATTGACCATGAATAATATTCTTAAAAAATCAACCCCTCTATTGGACTTTGGAAAATATAAATTAAAAAATTACTTTATGATCCCTTTTCCAATACATTTTTCCCAATGAATAATTTAAAAACCCATTCCATATTTTTTAATTCTGAATAAAATATTAACCTTACACGTGGCTGTAGTAGCCGAATGGCTAACCTTTTGCCTTTTATCCGACTAAGATCTAATCAATTATCTTCTTGTTCTTTTTTTTCTTATCTCTTTTCATGCAACTCATTTATGATGCGATGCTTGACTTGTAATGGCAACTTTGTACAACAACTCCAAAAACAACAACAATGAAATAATAACCTAAAAAAATGATTTATTATCTATCAATAACCTACCCAATGGCTACACAATCAACCAAACCAACCAACTTCGACGACTACGACCTACCAACCAATCAACCAACCATCACACACATACACACACACATGTATACACTTGTGTTGTTGCAGGATCTAATATTGGAGAAAAAGTCATTGGTGAAGGAAACTAATCGTCTGAAAACATTAAACAGCCATCTGGACTATCGCCTAAACGAACAGGAGAAACGCCTGAGTACCGTCAGCTTGGAATTGACTAAAACTTGGCATTTGGTTGGCAAAATGCAACGTCAACATCGTCAAATGCACACCCAGGAGCAAATTTTACGCTACCAGCTGCAGCAGAAACGTCGCCTGCTGCACGAACTGAAGGATGAACTGGAGTACTGTCGCCGCAAGTGGCAGGCGGCACGTGCCAAAAACGATGAAAGTCAAGAGCAGTGCGATGATTTACGACGTGAGTTTGCCAGGCGTAAATTGGAAGATGCAAATAATTCGGCTGAGAGCGGTTACAGCGATTCGGGTGGCCCCGTGTCCGATGAGGAGCCACTAATGCAGGGTGAGGAGGAAAAGGTGAAAGATGGAGCAATGAAAGGAGCTGTGGGTGGTAGGGATGATGTTGATGCTGCCACTGGCATTGCGATGGAAAAAGAGGATGTGGAGGTGAATGTTGAGGACGATGACGATGCCATGGCCTCCACTTCGACTGGGGCTGCCAGTGGTGGTTGTGTCAACTATAGACGCAAACGTTTGAGGGAAATGTTTGAACATTCACGTAAAATAAAACGCATGCAGAGCACTTCGCCCGGCAGGGCAAATGCCAACCCCAACAACACTTCAAATGACACTGAAGAGGTGGTCTTGAGATGGAATAGTGCACCACCAACATGTGGCTGGAGGAAGGTGGGAGAGGGCGAAGACAACGATGACGACGATGAGGAGGAGGATGAAGATGAAGAACTGGAAATGGCAACAATTTTGGTAAGGCCAAGTACTTCGGCAAGTGGTGCCATACCAAAATCGAGCAGTGCCAGATCTTCTAGACGCTCTCAAAGACGTAGTGTGGAGAGATCCAATGCCACCGATTTACCAGATGTAGATGAACCAGCCTCCAACCCCGAATCTGTGGATGATAGAGCAACGCGCATTAAACGCTTGGAGGAACAATGTAAAACTTTGATCCAACAGGTTTTGGAGACGTCAGATAATAGAGAACGTCTGGAGGTTCAGTTGAGACGTTTCCAAGATGAAATGGCTCCCGTTCAATATGCAGTACCCTTGGAAGAGCTAATGAATAAGAAGCGTAAGGATCGTACCACCCGTGCTAGTTCAGCTCCTGCATCGGGCACCCTAACACCTCGTGAGGAAGAATATACCAGGCGCCGTTCCGAACGTCTGGGACGTTTAGAAGAAGAAAGTCGCCAGCTATTGTTCCGCATTAAACGTACCTCCGATAGGGGTCATTATTTACGTTGCTCTTTGGATCGTATACGCCGCAATCCAGTCTCCAGGGAGGGAAGTTTTGAAAGTAATACCGAGGAGGAGGGACGCAAGTCGGAAGATGAAGCCTCCGTCAATGCAAAAACAAATGAAAATGCATCAAAGCAATCTGCAAATCTACAGGATGGGCCCAGCACATCAGCCCAATCGATGAAAAGTCCCCTAAGTGCCCAAGAAGAAGCCTATACCGCTCGCAGGGCGGCACGTCTCCATCGTCTGGAGGAGGAGAGCCGTCAATTGTTAACCAAGCTATCACACAACAATAATCGTGGTGATAGTTTGGGTTTAAGACTTGATATACTACACGAACGTCATGGATCTCAGGAAGAACCAACAGCCACAGCAGCATCATCCTCAACCACAACCAATTCTACCTCAAAAATACCAGTAGCCGGGAAACTAACCACCGAACAGCGCATAGAAAACATAGAGAAAATCTCCTCGAATCGTGAACAACGTTTGCGCATTCTCGAAGAAGAAGGACGCCAGCTGATCAATCGCCTCTCAGAAACATCGGAAAAGGGTACACAAATGATCAATCGCATTGCCGAGCGCGAACTCAATCGCCAGCAGCGTTCCAACTCCACACCGCAAAGAGATAATGCAGATTTGCCAAGTACCTCCACGGCAGTAGTAGATCCTCTGCTGCCCACCCTCAAGAATGTGGCCTGTTCCAGCATTGTAAGTGATGAATTGACGGAAAGGGTAACCATTACCACCACACCTAGTCAAATTGCGGCCCATCAGGGTGCCATACCAAAAACCACAACCACCACCACAAAACCAGTCAGCAAGCCCACGACTCAGCTACTGGCAGCTCGTTCAAAATCCGATCGTCTGCAAAGTATCACGCAGCGTAAACCCGAAGAAACCAAGGAGGAAAGTTTGGAGGAAATGGTCAAGCGTTTGCAATCTTTACCCTTCCCCAAAACTGAGGAAGAGAAAAAGGAGGAGGAGGCTACAACTGTAGGACATCCCGCCGAAGTGAAGGAAGATACAATTCCCTCTCCTCCAGAAAATGAAAATAAACTAGAACCTCTACAAGAACCAACTATGGCAACAATGGAAGAATCCTCCGATAATGCAGCCACCTCAAACGCCACCGCCCCAGCTGCTGCTGATCCCGCTACTGGTATCACCAATCCCAACCCCAATGACAACATATAAACGAATGTCATCCATACGATAAGACTTTATTCTACGTGTTCAATTTCTTTTCTATCTTTCCAATCAAAATGCTGACTATTTATTCCTTGTGGGAAAACATTTTCCCCGAGGATTTCTTTAGTTTTCAATCCTATAACCTTTATAACGATTTATATACGTACCGCTTAGTTGCAGATATGTTTATATATAAATATTTACTATTATTATTCATACATATATATGTAATTGTAACTCGTAAAGAATAAAGTTTTGTTCTTTCGCCTTGCTAAAAAAAAATGTAATTGTGTTTTACTTCAAGAGAATATTTTGTAGGTAAATCAGTACTATTAGACCCTATGACAGGTGTTAGTCTAGATTGGATTGAATTAAGTTTAAATCAGATCAGTGGTTATAAAGTGGCTAAAAATGCCAAGTACAGACATATTAATGGACCAAAAAGCCACTACATTTCCAACCATGAGATACGAATTCAAATATTCTGAAATCGGCCGAGATCCTTATATGGGCGGCTCTGTCAAAACATGGAAATAAATTTAAAATTACCTGCAGCAGAATTTTTATGTTGGTTACATGTATTTGGCCTGGCTATCCTAAAAAGTGAACAGATGGTGTTCATTTTCTAGTAGAAAGATTATATTCTAAGAAATGGGCAAATAGGTATTAAATACCTTTCGATTTACACGAAATTTGACACAGAGTACTGAATTAGGTCCAGAATGATGTGTGCCAAGTTTCGTGAAAATCGGTTCGGATTAGGATATAGCTCCCATGTATATTTTCGTCCGATTTATGGTAAATATTGCACCAAAGTCCCTAAATATCTTTCGATTTGCACAAACTTTGACACATCGTACTGAATTAAGCCTACAATGATGTGTACTAACTTTCGTGAAAATCGGTACTGATTTAGATATAGCTCCCATATATATTTTCGTCCGATTTAATGTAAATGGTGTACCACAGCCCCTATATTTCTTTTGATTTGCACGAAATTTGTCATAGCGTAATGAATTAAGCATAGAATGGTGTGTACTAACTTTGGTGAAAATCGGTTCAGATTTAGATATAGCTCCCATATATAGTTTTGTCCGATTTTATGTAAATGGTTCACCAAAGTCCTCACATATCATTCGATTTGCACGAAATGTTGCATAGCGTACTGAATTGATTCTAGAATGACGTGTGAAAAGTTTTGAGGAAATCGGTTCAGATTTTTATATAGTTCCCATATATATTTTCGTCCGATTTAAGGTAAATGGAGCACCAAAGTTCCTTTATATCTTTCGATTTGCTCGAAGTTTGGCATACGGTTCTAAATTAGGTCTAGAATGATGTGTGTTAAGTTTCGTAAAAATGGCTTGAGATTTAGATATAGCTCCCATATATATTTTTGTCCGATTTAATGTAAATTGTGCACTAAAGACCCAAAGATTGGCCGATCGGCACACAATTTTGTGTGTCAAGTGTGTCAAGTTTTCTTGAAATTGGTTCAGATTTACATATAGCTTCTATATATACTTTCATCCGATTTTAAGTAAATGATGCACTAAAGACCCATACCTAGGCGGATTGACAAAACGTACTGAAATTAATAAAAATCTAATATATAGCAAGTTTCCTTGAAATCGGTTCAGACCTATTCATGTCGATTGTACACCAAATAATCAATGGGTACCTGATTGATACATTTTAAACAGTGAAGCATACCAAATAGCGTGTGTAAATTTAGCTTTAAAACTATTTACAAAGTATGGAATAGGTTGCAGGATGGCATGTGTTGGAATTAATGTTAGTCGGTTTACTTAACACTAGATAGCCATCTTCGGTTCAATTCCATGTTAATGTTCCTTCGAAAAGATGACATCTGTAAAATGGTGAAGGGTATCATAAAGTCGGATCAGTCCAACTTTACTACTTTCCTTACTGGTTTTAATATAATTTTCGACAGATCTATATTCCGAGTCTTGGCCTTATTTCGCGATATTTGCATCCTCTCAATCGGTTAGAGGTCAACAGCTCCTCTTTCTTATCCCAGCATATTTTCTAAATTATTTTTTTTTGTGTAAACCTTTACCCTATATGAGTAATGTTGGTTATTTTACACATAAAAGTCTTAGTTAAGTTGATTCTCTAAATAATGATTGACCCTTTTTAAAAGAGCCATTCTAAATAGATGTAAAATTTGGGATGCTCCGCTTACAATAGAGGCTCTAAAGCGAAACCATACAATTATAAGGCTTTAACTACATTCCATTTCATGATATCTTCTGATCATCATCGAAATTTGTAGGAGTCATCCTTGATCACAAAGTGAAATTCCTTTAAAATTGCATAGCGATTCACGAGCATTTTCACCTTCTAGACTGGTAATGGTAATATTAATCGTATCGTCATACATAGATACCTGTGTTTATCTTAGTATAACTCCCATATTCGAGTACATAAAAAAAACAGTGAGCGGAGCAGTATAGTCAGATGGGGCCGACCATATAATACCCTACACAACTTCCACGAAAATCTAACTTTCTGTTGTTCTATGTTCTGAGCTTGGGCAATATTTCGCGATATTTGCACCATTTTGGCCGACTAGAAGTCGACAAATATTACTAAAATTCAGTACAACTCTTTTAATTACTTGTCCAGATGCCATATACCGTGAGCTGTGTTGTGATGTTCGGGTTTCAATTGTGGCCTTTAGATCGACTCGGAAAACACACAAAAAATTAAGTTTTCGGTCCACTTCATTCCAAAATTATTATCTGATCATCGTCGAAATTATAGGCGTTGTCCTTGACCATACCTGGGTCCTCATGGAAAATTTTAAAGCGATCAGCGCTATATTGTCGACCTCTAGTGTGGTAATGGGTTACTAAATAATATCTGCTTACGTAAGTACCTGTCCGAGTACATACGACAAAGTAATTGGTATCAATTTGAAGGCCAACCACTCCTCGTGAATATATTGTCAACTTCTCGGGTCTAGGTCCTTCAGGGGTAAATCTATACGCTATAGAATACAAATTTTGTAATTTTTCATAAAAAGTCAGGGTCAATTTGACACGCTAAATATTGACCGATCTTTATCAAAACAGGCATGCTTATTCCCTGGCCCGATCCCCTTCTCCATGCAGTGTTTGGGCCATAATTGCGGCCTCTGGAGCGACCAGAAAAACCGACAAAAATAAAGTTTTTGGTCCATTTCATCCCCTAAATATTAACCGATATTTTCCAAAAACAATAGGGGTCTTCATTGGTCAGAACCCATTCTACATGCAAAATTTCGTGAAGATTGGTCCACAATTGTGGCCTGTATCGTGTTTACAAATAATAATGGACAGACGGACACACATGTCTAGACCGACTCAGCTAGTCGAGATATGACGATCGGTATACTTAAAGGTGGGTCTAGCACCAATATTTCGCGGCGTTACAAACTTTTGGGTAACAATTATCAAAACATACTACAAAAATGACGATTCCGCTACAGCCACATATCGTGCTTTATGAGGAGATTATGGTTTACATAATTGTTGAAAAAATTATAACTGTCTTTCCGTATATTATGGTGTATTTTTCATTAAGATCTTCTCTGACATCCATCCAGTTGAAGTAGATAGGCGAAATAGATGCTTGAAAAACAGGCGGTGGGTGGCAATTTTTTGGGGCAAAATTTTCTTCAGCGATGAAGCACATTAATAAACACAATTTTGGGATTCTGAGAATCCTCAAATAATTGCAGGGAGAACTAGTCACTATTTGGCGGGATATTTGGTTCGAAGGTGTGATTCGACATTTTCTTTAAAAACGACGATGGAACGAGAGTCACCATTATGTTCATATGATAATCAATTGTTTTGACTGCCTTTGATACTAACGACTTGGAGCATACTCCTCGTGCTTATATTTATGTTTTAGCTAAGAAATATTTACAGAGTTGCACTTAAATGTGTATACACCACTGGCTGGGGTTCTATCAAAGTTGTACCTAAAATAAACCTACCCGCATAAATCTAGACTCTTATCTTTAAACTAATTCCAAATGGCCCATTACGACATACATATTCTAATCGACGTAAATATTTGGTAAACTTTCTACCCAAAAAAATGTAAACCTTTTATAAAGAATCTACCCCCTTTACACCTTCATAAAATTTCGGCACAACTATCCCAAAAATAATACTAAAAAAAACTTTTTTTCAAAAGTGCAATATTTTACAATAAAAAGGGGGACAAAACAAATCTTGGGACTTAAATCGTTTACTCGATATCATTAGGCTACCAAATAAAAGCTACACCATTTTTAATTGACCGTGTGTTATGGTGGGCTTAAATATATTTATTACGGCAATGGTTGTTGTTGTTTTTTTCTTTTTTTTTTTGGCTAGCGGCTAAGGTATTAACCAAACAACTGAGCTACCCAACCTAGCTAATGGCTAGAATCATTAGAATCATTAAGATTATCACGTGTTTTGGCTTTTGTCACAAAAAATGCCCAGCAAAACATAGAACAACAAGCCTCCTAATTAAGATGGGAAATTATGGCCTCAAGGTCAGCTAATAAATAATAACCACAAAGCAAAAACAAAACAAAAAAATAAAGACATATAAGAAACTGAAAAAAGTTAAACATTAAATGTACGTACATAGCCTCAAGCGTGTGAGTGTGAGAAAAAGAATATGAACAACAACAAAATAATAAAATTAACTACGAATTTTAGCATAAAGTTAAATATCATCTGGCGGATAGAGGAGGTGTGAAGAATAAGTAAAGCAAAGTTAGCAGAGACTGGATGGATACACTATTTTATAAAAATAATAAAAAAATAGGTCCTAATTCACAGTCCTTATCCTACACAAGTAGTCATTAGTAAATATTAAGGATCTCGAAATCCTTTTCTTTTTCTAAAAATTGTAGTCAATTCTGAAAATTCCCTGATGTGTTGGTGTAGTGTTTAATATTTTCGTGTTTAGTGTTTAATTTTTAATATTTTTTTATCTCC